AGTCCTCTAAGGGCTAATTAAATCATATTAGCATTTCTTGATATTTGCAGAAAGTTTTCAAATTGCTTGAACTATTGTTTAAACCACTGATTGATTTTTTCCTTATATATTAAAATAATATAGATCTGTACAAAATGAAAAAGGTTTCTTTTTCCAAAACAGTATTGTTCTCTGGAATCTCAGCTGAATATATTTAGCTTCTGAATTAGTTTCTAATTCTAATTGGATATTTTGCTAATTGTTCCTACATAGAAGCATATATTAATAGCAATTAATAAATTGACAAAGATTGTAAAATTTGCAATGTAAAAAAACAAAAAAAATGCAACTATAAGGTAGTTTATTTTTTCAAGATTTCTTGGGATCTTTTTTTTTGTTTAGGCACAACATGTAAATCAAATTTTGATCTTTGATAGGATATGCTGAATTATCGATATCCAATTCACATTTTTCACACAAGGAGCAAATAGAAATCTATTTTCAGATTTCTTAACATTATTCAAATAAGTAGAAGTGAATATAGTCAATAGCATATGTTAGAATAAAATCGTCAGACATTAAAAGATATAAATACAGGTATGTAAATACACTATTCTGATGTACTTCTCCTTAGAATGAAATATTCTCACTAGATTTCCACTCTTTCAACTTGGATTTGCACTTTTCTGCATTGGTCTTTCCTTTTGCCAAAGATTCAAATAGGAAGGGCGGAAAAAAAGTGAAGAAAGATGTGTTGATTTTGGAAACTAGCTTTCCCACAATACAAAAGTGATTAAGATCTAAGCAAAGGCTAAGGATGGCTTATGCCTAACTCTGATGAGGTCCAGTACCTCATTACCCACAACTGAAAACTTCTGCTGCATTTTGTTTCAAGGGAATCCAAAAGTCCTTGCTGTAAAGCAGACTGGGAGGGGGGGTTTGGGGGGGTGAACATGCATTCAGCTTTTCTGTATCACAACCATTATGAAAGAAGTATAAAACACTGCCTTTATGCTGCCAAGCCACAATGACTCCTCTTACATCAAAGCAGTTTTGCCACTTGGATTTGTTCCTTCCAAATTTATTCAAGCCAAGGGCAGGGAGACAACAATTCATACACACTAATTATACCTAATTATCTATTCCTCCCCCCCTCCCTCAACTTTCAACCACCGTTATTTGCTATTTGGGTTTCTCACAACCTCCTCTTGCCCTGTCCATCCAGCTCCCCAGTAAGTCTTTGAAGAAAACAGTTGTGGCTTTTTTTGAATATTCACCACGTAAGGTTCAAACTATTCCCATTATTCTTAACACAATTTAGTTGCTAAATTTGAAGACTCTTTTTCTTAATTTGGAAAATTTTTAACAATTCTGCCTGAAGAAAATTGCCAGTGATATGCTTTTCTTCTTCAGGAGCTTCTCTTCTCCTGATGCTTTCTTTTCATGAGCTCAATGAAATGTTTATTGGATTAATGTTCTTCTCTGTGGACCTTCCTGGAGCCTGTGATAAAGCCCTTACAAACTTTATTAACTGGCTGAGACTTTGGGGAATGGGCTATACAGAAAGATGGGGCTCAGCTTTATTTCACATTGTACTACAAGCAAAGAAAAGTGCCATATGCTAATTAAGCAAACACATCCCAATACCTGAAGAAAACACTATTAGGTAGCTGTTCCAAAATGTGCGTAACTTGTTTGAACCAAAGAGTTAATTTGCTGAAGCAGGATTAAAGGAGTCATTAATATTAAAATAAAAAGGGAAGAAAATGTTAAGAGTTTGCCGCAATTATTTTAACATTAGGTGACAATTTGTTTTGAAAAATGAAGAACGGTCAAACAATGGCTCGGGAAAAATAATTGGCACTTACATACACACTTCCATACAGACGCAATTTACTTTTCTATAGTTTCAAAATAACTTCATTGAATCCAAATGTTTTAAAAACTGTTGCCTGGTTCTTGAATATTTAATTTGTGTTGTGGTTCTAGAAGAGACAAAATGAATAAATGCATTCAGTGTACTCTTGATTCCCATTCTATAGGAAACCTTTTAGAGGAGCAAATGAAAGTCTCGAGTTCTAATTTTGTAGGCTAAAGCATAGATGCTTTCAGACAAAATGCTTAAGATGAGATCACATTAAAAGCAGTCATAGAACAGGGCTATGTAGTGAACGTGGATCTAATTCAAAACCTATTCTAGCATTTTATTATATTCATGAGTGTATGCCTGCATGTGTATAGACACACAGAGCCTCCTTTTTTTTATTATATTAAGCCCAGTAATTCCCAACAACGGAACTGCATTGTATATCCCAAAAGTAATCCATTTAATTAATACAGAGAAAAAAGAAAGACAGAGTCTACAACTGCCACAGCTTGGGAAAGAAAGACTTCTATTGAAGACTTGCTTGGCTTCTCACTAAGAAAGAAATCAAAAGGCCTAACATCTTCAGCACTGAAAAAGTCAATAGATAAGTGAAGACATCACAATATCAAAGACTTAATCCCAGGAATTCTGACTCAGGTGACAGCTTAGCAGAGGTCAGGGTGCTGACACTGACCACAAAAGCAACTTTAAACTATTCAGTGTACTGAAAGCTTCTAGGCTATCGCCGCCTTAGAACAGAATTAACTGACAAATCAGTTTAATCACCAAAATGACTTTTTTAAAGAAATCAGAAGAAACAAATTTGTTCAGCCTTACACAGGTGGCCCGACAAAGGCAGAACACATAATCAGAAACATTTTATATTTTCTCACTGGTGCTAAAAGATGCGATTTTGCCCTCAAATGGCTCAGAATTTGCCAGGGTGTAGAGAGAACCATTCTTGACCTAACAGAACAGTAGTTAAATACATTTTATTATCACTAACAAGTTTGAGACCATAAAAACAATAATTTAGTAGGGATAAAGCCAGCACTGTTGAAAACAAGCCAGTAACCTAATCTAAAATTTATTCAAAGACAAGTTTCATAAAATGAAACACAATTGACTTCCAGGGAAATATGCAGCTGCATTACTACTACTTAAACGATAATAAGAGATGTAGGAGAAATTCAAGAATAGCCACAGCTCAAGTGAAATTAGGTCACTATACAGACCACAAAACATGAAATTTGAAGGAAAAAAAACCAGAGATGGTTTCTTTGGGCCCCACAAATGAAAGATGACAATTGACGTAATATGCTAACTCAGAAAATAGATGCCCCACTGATTTTAGCTAATACAAAAGTGGTTGCACGTTTGTAGACTTTAGCATCTTCTACGCAATTTCATGAATTTATATCATTTATAGAAATCATGTGTTGTTGATTACTTTGACTGTAGGAAAAGCTACCCACTTATTTAAAAATATTATCCCTTTATTGCTTATTTTATATGGAGATGATTCAACAAAACAAAGCATTTTAAAATCTCATTAATTTTCAAAGAAAGGATTTAAACATATAAATGCAATGCCATTTCATATATAATATTATTTACTGATATTTTTTGTATTGATCAAATGCATTGTACGCATATAAATACATACATACATACACACATACGATATACACATTTCATAGGCACTTGACTGAATATCAGAAGTGGGGAAAAAAACAATTTTCCCCCTACTGTAGTGAAATACTAGATTATTATAATAGGTACCAGCAATCAGTAACAAAAGAATCCAATGCAAGGTCTCTTAAACTTCTGTGAGACCCTGTTGAATTTACATTGAATTTTTATGAGGCCTCATTTAAATGAATTGGAACTAAATGTAGGTAGTTCTTGACTTGCAACCACAACTGAACCCAAAATTTCTGTTGTGAGTTTTGTCCCATTTTACCTTTCTTAACACAGTTGTTAAGCGAATTACTCAAGTTGTTAAGTTAGAAACATGATTTTTAAGTGAATCTAGCTTCCACACTGGCTTTGCTTGTCAGGACGTCGCAAAAGGTGGTCACATGACTTCAGAACACTGCAGCCGTCATAAATACATGCCAGTTGCCAAGCTTCCAGATTTTGATCACATGACCATGGGGAAGCTGCAATGGTCGTAATGGTCACTAAAACAAATGGTTGTAAGTTGAGGACTATCTGTACCTGTTCTGATGTAAATTTCCCCTTCTCATTCCTGGTAGTGTTTTTAAACATAGAAGTAGCCAATGAAATTTGGGAAGCCGCCATCTAGCCATGCATCAAACCAACCCCACAGTTATATAAATTATTTCCCCCTAGTTTCTTTTGCATTTAACAAGAAAACATGGATTTAAGGAACTATATTCACTATAGTAATTTTTAAAAAGTTAGTTCTCCAGCAAAAAAAAAATTGAAAAAGCAAAAACAATGCCATGTTAACAAAAATAAATGCTTCAAGGGTATTATATTATTTTTATCAGAAAAATCATCTGAACCCATCATAGGAATAATGACTTACTAAATTATGGAAATACACATTGATGTCTAAATTAACGTCCTCTTTTAAAAGTAATACACAGATTTATACCACATAAAAAATGTGAGTTTCTCAATGTATAGAATTTATATTTTCATTTTACAAGAAATCAAAAAGAGAAGATATTTAGTAAAATGGGATTGAAATTATGATTCATACATACACAATTCTTGATATTCATTTTTGGTTTAAAGTTTAATAGTGATTTTTACTCTGCCAAAGTAATATAATACATTCAATTTTTTTACTAGTAAAGTTATACTTGAAAATTTTATCTCTTATAGCTCCTCGTTTATTCATCTATATTTTACTTTTTATTCCTTCTTCTGGGTTTTTCATGCTTGCATATATATTTTATTTTTATTTATTTATTTATTTTGTCAAGCATATATAAGATAATAGGTAAAAGTATAAACATAATTTGAATACATGAAAAGAGTAAGTAAAAAGGAATATTAGGACAGGGACGGTAGGCACACTGGTGCACTTATGCACGCCCCTTATCAAACAGAAAACACAATAAGATCTTCCCTAATGCTTAATAACTTTTTAAAAAATAATTAATAAAAATATATTTATTACCTTTAGTACAGCAATAAATGGCACAAAGTTAACTCTCTGGAGCCCATTTTTATAGAGATCTGAAAGAAAACATATTGTATTATCTTTGCTATGTCCTTTTCCTAAAATTCTCTATTATTATATTGCTTATGCTGAAGGACCAAAAAGAGATAAAATAAATTGTTAATTTCACTCCAATCTAAAATTTTTTTTTGCAAAAATGCTACAAACAAATAAATAATTAAAATGGCATGTACCATTGTACTGTAAAAGCACAATCTTTGGCATTCAGAAAGCAAGTCTGGTAATTCTGTCTCCATCCAAGGCATCTGTCTCTACCCATGCCTTGGATGGAGACAAAATGACCAGGCTCCTATTACAGATGCAGCCAGCATCCACATACAGGACGTATAAATTAACTTTTCCAACCAAACATCCCAAAGACCAAACATTATTATAAGAATAAATATGCCAAAAAGGCAAATTGGAACAAGTAATAAAAAAATATAAAATACACTTTGTAAATCTTATCTGCAATCCCACAGAAAAATACAAGTAATTCAAACTGGCCAATAAAAATTAAAAAAAACAAAAAAGGGAAATTACACAGCTACTTACTGCAGGTAGTCCTCTACTTATGACCAGAATGGACATTGTCTTACCTGAACATCCCTTTTCTGGGTGCTGCGACTACAATCCATGGCTGGGTTTATTCTTCAAGTCTTGACAGGAACTGAGTGAAAACTTTCTTTCTTCGTGCTTCAACCACACCCACTTGACCTCTGACACGCCAGTCTTTGTCACGAAGGCGCGGTCCACTTAAGGTACGAGTGCTTCACAGATAAACAGCAACAACAGACACCCAGGTCACCCCAGGTTCGGAGCAGGAGGCCGAAAGGGAGGGAATGGATTGTAGTCGCAGCGCCCAGAAAAGGGACGTTCAGGTAAGACAACGTCCGTTTTCCAGTGCGCTGCTCCTACAATCCATGGCTGGGATATACCCAAGCTCAAACCCCTTGGGCGGGAGGCAGACTGCTCCCAGAATCCAGGTCCACATGTACACACTGCAACACCCTCCACCCAAACGAAGTCTCGGCCGAGACGTAAGCGTCAATCTTGTAATGATGAATAAAGGTCGAAATAGACGACCATGTGGCAGCACAAAGTTATCCGAGACAGAGGCCTGAGTAGACCAAGCAGCCGTGGTAGCTGTGCTACGGGTGGAATGTGGAAGAATCCTGCCCGGTAGGGGCTTGGCTTTGAGTTCATACACTGTCGAAATGCAGGCCTTAATCCACCGCCCCACCGTGGAGGCGGAAACCTTCTAACCCATGGAGGCTGGATGGAATGAGACCAGAAGGGCCTCGGTCCGTCTGAAGGAAGCTGTACGACGAATGTAACGACGAAGAGCCCGCCGCACATCCAGCGTGTGCCAGTGCGCCTCACGTTGGTGACAAGGAGACGGGCAAAAGTCCAGCAAGATGAGCTCCTGGGCCCAGTGAAACCAGGAGTTCACCTTGGGCGTGAACATAGGGTCCAATCTGAGGACCACTCTGTTGGCATGAAATATGCAGAGATCCTTCCTGATGGATAAAGCTGTGAGCTCTGAAACCCTCCTGGCCGATGTAATGGCCAGGAGGAAGGCCACCTTGAATGACAGGAACTTGAGAGCGACGGATCCCAATGGCTCAAACGGTGGCAACATGAGCGCTTGAAGGACCAGTGGGAGATCCCAAGACAGGTATCGATGAACTGTAGGCAGGCGTAAACTCGTGGCGCAATGGAGGAACCCCCGAATCCAAGGATGGTGTGACAATGATTGATAAGGTGGGCACATGAGAATGGTGGACAAAGCAGATGTTTGTCTTCCCAAGGTGGAGGGGGCCAAACCCCTGTTCAGACCAGCCTGGAGAAATTCGAGGATGTCTGGGACATCAGCTGATGTAGGGTCGACATGGTGCTTGGAGCACCAGGCACAGAACGCCTTCCAAGAAGCTTCGTAAATGTGGGATGTTGATGGCCACCTAGAAGCCTGGATAGTCCCAATCACCTCGTCCGAAAGGCAGTCCCTCCTCAGGATGACCCTCTCAAGTGCCAGATGGCCAACTGGAGCCACTGTGGCTCTGGATGGCATATGGCCCCCTGGCACAGAGAGATTCGATGTGGAGTAATCACCCAAGTACGAGCAACAGAGAGCGCCACTAGATCGGTGAACCACGGACGGTGTGGCCAATTGGAAGCCACCAGAAGTACTTCGGCCTTTTCGATAAGCAACTTTCGAATGACTTTCGGGATGAGGGGAATCGGGGGGATCGCATACAGCAGGCCTGGGGGCCAACAACAGCGAAGGGCATTGCAGTCCTCCGCCAACGAGACACAAACTGAGGAAATTGAGAGTTTAACTGGCTGGCGAACAGGTCAATGACTGGAGTCCTGAACTGATGCATGAGTTCCCAAAACAAAAGAGGGTGAAGCTGCCATTCCACAGGGTCGATCTGCTCCCTGCTGAGCCAGTCCGCACGAACATTGGTGACACCGGAAATGTGGTCTGCTTTGATTAAAAGAGTGTAACGTTCCGCCCAACTCAACAACCTCTCCACCTCTAGCATCAATGACCGGGACCGCATGCCCCCCTCCTGGTTCACATGCGCCTTGGCCGATATATTGACCGTGAGGATTAATACATGATGTCCTTCCAAGATAGGACAAAATTGATGAAGAGCTAGCCGAATCACCCTCAGCTCTAGTAAGTTTATGCTGTTCCGTCATTCGGCTGGAGACCATGGCCCTGCACTACCTGATTGAGAAGGTGCGCGCCCCAGCCATGAAGGCTGGCGTTGGAAGTCAGTACCAGTCGGTCTGGCTCTAGAAAGTAACACCCCAGCAGCAGGGCTGGTGAGGTCCACCAGCGAAGCGAGAGGCAAATCTGTGGAGGTAAGGTCACCCTGTGTGTTGAGTTGCTGCATCCCATCCGCTGAAATGGAAGGAGGAACCACTGCAATGGGCGAGTGTCTGCAAGCCCAGGGGATGATGGCAAACATGACACCATTTTCCCCAGCAGCTGTGACAGGAGCAACAAGGGAACAGATCTCTGGGTAAGCACTTGATTCACCATTTCGTTGAGACTCTGGACTCTGTCCGGCGACGAGAACACCTGTCCCTTGGCTGAGACTATCACCACCCCAAGGTGAAGAAGATGGGTGGAAGGAACTAAATGGCTCTTGTCCTGATTGATCGAGAATCCGTGCTTCTGGAAGGCACTGATTACTAGCTCCATGTCACCTGTTGCCTGGGTCAGGGAGGACGACAGGACCAGGATGTTGTCGAGGTAACATAAGACCTGCACTGGGATAGATCTGAGTGTTGCTGCCACCACCGACATCAATTTGGTGAAGGTCCTGGGGGCCAAGGAGAGCCTGAAGGGCACGGCACAGTATTGAAAATGGTCGCCCGCATGCTCGAATCTCAGATACTTCCGGTGAGAGGGATGAATTGGGACGTGTAGGTATGCTTCCCTGAGATCCACTGACTGTAAGAGGTCTCCCTCTCTCACACTGCTGAGGATCGATCGAAGGGAATGCATTTTGAATCTGTGATAGCAGATTTAGCTATTTCAGGTTTAGAATCCCCCTCCAGCCCCCCGAGTTTTTGGGGACCAAAAACAGAACAGAATAGAAGCCGGTCCCATGCTGATCCAAGGGTACCGGTTCTATGGCCCTAATGTCCAAGAGATGGTGAATCTCGTCGGCCATTAGAAGTTTCCTGTCGGGCGAGACAAGAACCGGGCAACATAAGAAGCGACTTGGAGGGCAGCCGGTGAATTCGATGGAGAGGCTGTGAGTAACGGTGCGACAAACCCACGTGTCCGAAGTCGACTGCTCCCACTGGCGGTGAAAGATATGGAGACGATCGCCGATGGGATCCGACGACCGGAAGTCACTTGCCCCTGCGAAAGGACTTGTAGCTGGATCCTCGGAATGGGCGCTTGGCAGAGGATTGGGGTCTGCCACGATCGCGGAAGTGTTGCCTGTCTGAGAAATGGTCTCACCCTTAAAAGGATGGTCGTTGGGAAAAGGACCCCCCCCCCGGGTCCTGAGGAAGAGCGAAAGGGCTGCCACTGCGAGAATGGAGTGTAACGGCGTTCTGGTCTGCGGTATGAGGATGGGAGGATTTTCCGCTTGTCCTTGTTCTCAATGAGCCAGCGCGGCTCTAAAAAGGTCGGGGGCCTTGTACGGTGCCGCAGTTAGCTTCCACTTGGCCTTAACGTCAGCCTTCCAACTGTGAAGCCAGAAGAGCCGTTGCAATGTGACTGTGGAGGCCAGTGCGCATGAGGCAAATTTGGCCGAATTCAAGGAGGCGTCTGCTGAATATTCGGTGGCGGCTACTATTTTGTTGATATCTTGTTGTAATCTAGTTTCCTCAGGGGGAAGTCTCTCCTGTAATTGCCTCAACCATATTAGCGACGCCCTATTGAAAAATGATGTAGCGGTCATGGTCTTGATCGCCCAGGACGCTGCTTGATGCATCTTCCGAAAGGCGAGTTCAGCTCTCCTGTCCTCAGCTTTGAGTCCATCCAAAGAGTCCTTGGAAATAACCAACGCAGAGGACAGACTCGCGACCGGGGCGTCCACAGATGGCAACGTTAAGAGATCCTCCAGTTCAGGGGCTGTGCAATATAACCTCTTGTCTTGACTGCTGGGCGCTGTCAAGGAACCAGACTGACTCCACGGATTTTGAATCACCTCGGAGAATAGTTGGGGGCAAGGAATGAATTCCTTATCTGGTTTGGACAGCTTAAACAGAGAATCATGAGGTCTCGTCGCCGCCTGGGTCATGCTGGGCAACGCGTCACTCGCCCCGAGGTTGGTTGTCAACCTGGCCTTGTGTAATAGCGACTTGAATAGCGACAGTCTAAAAAGTCCGGTAAAGGCCAGGGCGTCCGGCAGCAAGTCTACTGAGAACTCTATGTCTTCAGGGAATTCTTCCCCGTGTTCAGAATCTATGGAAGAAGCAAACTCCTTGCGTGAAGGAGAATGCACTCTCGGGGGTTGTACAGGTAAGGATTGAAAAGGCAACTGGG